GTAATAACTGTAGCACTGGACAGCACAGGAAAAACTCTTTTTTGTCCCAAAGAAATGTGTTCACTGTCAGTCTAGCAGTCACCAAGAGCCAATGCTTCCACATGTATCAGACTATGGCAATCGCAGCCCTGCACAAGCGCCACTCTGGGGACTGTATCCCTTCCCTAAATATACTGTAAGTACCTCAAGAAGTCAGTGGAAATCGGTGTAATATCTTGAGGACAGAAGAGTCTTCCTGGCTAGCACAAGTCCTCCAAAGACTCATTTTCAGAATTCAACAACCTTCTTCACGAGTGAAGTCTAACCTAGTGCTGATGAGGGCCCAAACCATTACCTGAAGAGCTGAACAGGGGATCTTCAGAAGCACAATGCCAACCAACCCACCCTTGCCCAAAGCTCTGACATAATTACTTCCCCAGAGCCCAAAGTGACAGCATCTCATCATCAGTGGGTGGCGGATTATGAAAACTCACCTGGATTTCTACTTAAAAAAATAAAAAAATAAAAAAATCAGTGCTCAAATCAGATTCATTTCCAGTAGAGTTTGCACTTTGTTCAGCATGACCCAAACAAGGTTTTAAGGGAAACCTTCAGTTGTTCTGAAAATTACACACACTTCACGAAGCTTGCAAACAGATTTCAGTGGTACTGTTCGCTCTTTTTTCCTCCTTTATCAAATTTTCTTTTTTAGTGACCCTTAATGTGTTCTCATTATCCATACTCATTTCTTTCCCCCAACTTGAAAAGCACAGTCATCACCTCAACAGCAGAGCTACGTGAAACAGAGAATTAGTTTGCAGCTCTTGTTGATTTAAAAACGTGCACAAGCAGTTATTTTTTAACTTCATATTTAGCTTGTGCAAACAGTCTCCAGCAAAGCTGCACCATGTTAAAGTTTCTGATGATGCAAGACCAAGTAGTACATTGGGAAGCCTGCACAACATTTAAGAAGCACAATGAGATGAACTTTAAATTTGCTGAGCACCTTAAATTCCTGTCCTGGGCAATCGCAGCAGAAAAGCTGGGCAGAGGCTTCTCTGCAGTGATGCAGCGAGGGATGCACAACCCAGCACTTGCTGAAATGGGGTTTTTTGTGCGTAGGCTTCAGCTGTCAAACAATGCTATCAACAAAGATGCAGATACTACAGCAAGCTGTTACAGTTTTTTCTTAGGTTGTGGGGAAAACTATAGGATCACCTGGGAAACAAATCTAACCTCAGAAGAGAAAATGGATGGAAAGACTTGCACCTACTGACACCTTGCTTTCTCAGTCTGGACCACTCAAAAATCCTTCGTAACAGAAAGACTGATTCTCCCAGTATCAAACATACCCTTCCCACAAGCAGCTAACAACTGGATCAAGTTCTGAGAAGCCTCCAGCTAGTCCCATTTTACTATTCGCTGTTCAGGCAGACTTTTTAGATGAATTGAAAGCAAAACTGACACTAATCTCCTTGTTTAAAACCCTAACCTATCCAGGCTCCATAAGCAAAATGAGTCTGTCAAGCTCTTAACACTATTAAGTAACGCAGTTTACTCCTGAACAAAGAAATACTTTTCCTCCAGTAAAAGCTTTGCCACTCGCTTTCTTCCAAGCCCTCACCAAATCTTACTACAAAAACAACTGGTTACAAAGCACCTAACCAACTTCAGTTTTAAACAGAAAGCCAATATTTTAAAGGAGTGGCATTTCCAACTGCAGTTCTATTTTTAAACTCAGCATGCACCTCATGCCAACTCACTTCTTTTCCGGGAGGTTGAGCCATTTTGACTCAAGTCACATAATCTAAAATTTCATTAAAAATGCAAAAAGCCTTTGGACTGCTGGTAGCATAAAGCAGCTTCCACTCTCAATCTTAGCACTCTGCCTTTCATCACAAGACAAAATGCAATACTTGGAAATTAACAGCATCCAACATCTAATCTTTACTAAATATTACTGCAGTTCATACAACTATGTGGGTCATGAAATGCACACGCCTCAGTTAATCACTGCTCTATGCTAAGGCTGCATGCTCATGCATAGCAGAAGGCCTATAAATCTGAAGCAAGTTCACCAAATTCCATAACAGATACAAGTAACTGATTTTTCACTTGGGTCTCGTGTAGTTAAGCCTCCTGTCAAACTCGGTTACACACACACACATAAGATAAAAGCAAGCACTGCAATGTAGAAGACTTGCATGCAAGAGTTCTCCACCGCTGCTTGCTGTAAAATGGTCAACAACTGAGCTGCATCACTACAGAAATCCTAAGATTATAGTACTTCAGAAAATATAATTGCCCTTGCATCATTAAGAAATGCAGCCATCTTAGAAGAAAGCTATTAATCCAACCTTTCCTTCTCACTCATTTGCAACAAAAGGTATTTGGCATTACAGAAATGGAGTAGAAACCCAAATTAATCAGAACTGAAATATGAAAAAAAAAAAAAAATTTCCTCTTCTAATTTCAGAAATACTTTTTCCAAAGCAGTGCCTAAAAAGGCTGTTCAGGGAAAAGAAAGTTTGCTCAGATGAAAAGCTGTGTCAGTATGTTCTTAAAACACATTTCATGACCAGCAACGTAGGACTATTTTCATCTGGTATAAACAAAGCTACTGATTTTGAGAAGTCGTCATTTCCCTTTCCTTAAATCCTGTATTGCCAGTACAGAAACAACTCCTAACTGAACTGCCTGCACCCAAGTACCAAGTCCCAAGTACAGCGGATGGACATCTGTGCTCATTTCACAAGGATGTAATGCAGCCCGTAAGAAGAAACACCAGTGATGTTCCAGCCCAGCTCCTCAAAAGGTATGTAAACAGTCCAGCAACAAAATGCCTGTTTTGGCACTTGGGTATTCCCTGCAGCCCCTTGGAAAATCAGCTGTGTCTGAAATATAAAGACTGCAGGCCTTTGTCCACCTGGGATGCCGAGATGTGATGAGAAAAGCAAAAAAGAGACATTCAGCTAAGTGGACACCTCACCTGGTTTCCAGTCCATGCCCTAGTTGGCTCACTGGAGGATTTCACATTGCATCTCCCTTGGCCCACACTGCAGCACCTAGCTGTTGCATGTTTTGGAACTTCCACTGAACTGCTCATTTGCAGAAAGGGTTCACACCTCAGTTCCCCTCATCCAGAGATCAGTGCCCAAATCACAGGACTACACAGCCCCTCTCAGTCCTTTAGGCTAGGGGAAAAACTCCCTCAAGATGACTGTTAGCCACGGGATGCTCCTACAGACATGGGAAGGCTGGGAAGCACAGCCAAATGCAGGTGGTCCCTTGTTTCAGCCTCAACATTTTTAGCTCTGCCACACAGTGAGAAGTGCCTTTGAGATGCCAGTCCTCCTATCACACACCACATACCTTTCCAATACCTCACTGAGGTTTCAGGTTTTCTTCAATACCAACTCCCAGCCCAGTCCTCTGCCTCAGCACAGAAGTAATAAGCAGGTTGCTTTCCAAGTATGACAACCAACAATTTCATCAAAACTCTGCAAAAAGAACATCTCCAAGAAGCCTGCACAGCGATAAAATAGTCAACTTTCACCTCTGCAGTGTCAGCCTTCAAGTAAAGCCATTATACTGCACATGCAGCAGTCTTTATTCATTAATTGTCCATTAAGTGTGAAGCTAAGAAAAAGGGGGACTGAATATAAGCTCATTTCAAGGACACCTTCATAACTGTTTAAAAAAATAAACATTTTTTTCCATGAACTCTGTTACAGAATTGCAGCCAGCTGCAGCTTTCAAATACGCTAATTTAAGTCTAGTCTTCAGTGGCCTAGCTGTAATCAATAATAATAAATTGGAAAAAAAAAAACAATAAACTCAAATCAGCATACCCTAAGCAACCTTGAGAAAGAAAATCCAGATTTAAAATTCACTCGTTCTCTCACTTAGAGCAGACTACTCGTTGAAAAGATGTGTTTGGGTCAAAAAGCCCCACCTCCCAGCAGCACATTTGGACAGTGGTACCTTAAACACCAAACCTGCAAGGACAAAGCCAAGAGATCACCACCACTTTGCCACCACTTACTTGCTTCCCAAAAGTTCCCATCCAACGCATTACTCCCAGAATCACAAACCTCGCTGAGACCGCCCTTAAGCGAGCACCAAACACTGCTGTGTCAGCCCAGCAGCAGGCCAACAAAACCCCCAGCCAAACATCGCAAACACCAGTCTAACACTGGGCTTCATCAACGCCACAGATAGACTGTGGAAATCACACAGCAAAGAGGGATTTGGGCTCCTTAGCTGAAAGCTCAGTGTCCCCTGCTGAAGTCAAGCACCTTTCAGGCCATCACCACTTCAGGCCCAGCGCCCAAGTAACATCACGAGCTCCGTACTGCTCCCACCCAGAACAAGGCTGCCTCTGGATCATCTGCTACAACGCGAGCTCTCAACACCGAAATTTTCGCCCTGACCCCGTAGGAAAGCAGCGAGTTCTCTTTCTATGCAAATAAGGCTGGAACCGAGGCATCAGGACGAGACCGGAATCACAGCAACACAGAACGCGCCCGGCCGGCAGGGCGCACAGGCATCACCGAGCCAAGTCCTGCCTGCATGCAGGGCGGCTCAGCCCCAGCTCGCGCGCCGCATCTCCCAGGACGGCTGAAACGTTCGAGCCCGGTTTGCACTTACCTCAAAGCCCTCCCACCGCAGCACGGATCAGACCAGCCCCACGGGCATTCGGCACGCAACCCCCGGGCCGCCACAGGCGCAGCCCGGCAGCCGGGCTCGCCACGCTCCGACTCGTTATCCAGAACCGCGTTATCCAGAACCGCGCACCGACCTTCGGCACATCCTAAGCACCACGCTCCCCCCGGCACGCCGCGCTCCCGTTCGCCTCACGCCGCGCCACCACCGATCTTCACACGGGAAAAACCGCGGTGCCCCTCCGTGCCGGGCCCGCTCCGTTAGCCGCCCGGCGGCGGTTAGGTAACGCGCCGCGGGTCTGATGTAATCGCCGGGCGCGCAGCGCTGCGCCGGGCTTGGCGGCGCAGGGAGGATACAGGTCAGGTCCAGGTCGAAGCCATCCTCTTGGTAGCGCCTTTTGTTCCTGCTGACGATCTCTTTGATGATGGCGGTCATGTCTGGCAGGCGAGGGCCGCTCCGGGGCGGGCCGCGGGGCCGGGCGGCGGGCGCTGGGGCCCGCTGCTCCCGGGGCTCAGCCCCGGCCGGGCCCGGCTCCCGCTCCTCCCGCGGCGGCGGCGGCTCCCGGCGGCCAGCCATCACCAACAAGATCGGCAGCCGGAACAAAAGGCGCTACCA